GACCTCGTGGTCCTAGACAATTTCCAAAGCATTCTGCTCATGCTGTTATTTCTGACACCCCTTCTCCAACTTATGATAATCCTACTGATGCAAATTCCATGACTGACCGTTTGTTTACTGAGTTTCTAGCTTTTAAGAAATCACAGGAGACATCACAAGGTAACTCTAATGATCATGTGGTTGCTACTGCACTTGCTGAGCTTTCAGGTACTCCTCAATCCTCTTTTTGTATGAGTGCTACAACATTATCTAAAAGTACATGGATTCTTGACACTGGAGCTACTGATCACATGCTTTGTGCTTCTGATTTTTATACTTCTCCTGCTACATGTACATCTGTCAATATAACTTTGCCTAATGGAAATTATGCTACTGCTTCTCACATTGGACAAGTTAAACTTGCTGATTCTTTGATCCTGCATGATGCATTATTTGTACCATCTTTCTCATTTAATCTCATTTCTGTTTCAAAATTAACTGCCACAAATAATTGCATTGTCAAATTCTTGTCATCTTCTTGCATAATACAGGATCTGTCAAACCTGAAAGTGATTGGTTCTGCTGATCTCAAAGATGGCCTATATCATCTTACTTTAGACTCTAATCATGTTTTCCTTAATAATGCTACTGCTACCCCTTTACATGTAAACTCTCATTTACCTGTAAGCAAAGTTGATTCCTCTATATGGCATTATAGACTTGGTCATCTTTCTTACTCTAAGCTTCAAACTCTGTCTCTATCTCCACCAACTTGTAAATCTCTAATCCCATGTGATGTGTGTCACTTCTCTAGACAGAAGAGATTGCCTTTTCCTGAAAGTATCTCTGTTTCTGATTCCCCTTTTGATTTAATTCACTGTGATGTTTGGGGACCCTTCTCAGTCCCATCTCATACAGGTCACAAGTATTTTCTTACAATTGTTGATGATTACAGCAGACTTACTTGGATTTATCCTGCCATTTTAAAATCTGATATCAAACAACACCTCAATCATTTTTATAACATGGTATTGACTCAGTTTGAAAAGAAAATCAAAATCATCAGAACAGACAATGGTTCTGAGTTCTTTCTTAAACAATTTTATGCTGATTTTGGCATTTTACATCAAACTTCTTGTGTTGAAACCCCTCAACAAAATGCTAAAGTGGAAAGAAAACACCAACACCTTTTACAAGTAGCAAGAGCTCTCTTATTTCATGCTAGTTTACCTTTAACATTCTGGATTGATTGTGTTCTTGCTGCTGCACATATCATAAACAGAATCCCCACCCCTGTCCTTAATCAAAAATCTCCTTTTGAAATGCTTTTTCAAAAACCTGCTACTTATGATCATATGAAAGTCATTGGCTGTTTGTGCTATTCTTCCACTTTAGTTGCAAATAGAAACAAATTTGATCCAAGAGCTTCTAAATGTATATTTCTTGGATATCCCTTAGGTTGTAAAGGATACAAACTTTACAACCTAGATACCAAGAAAACATTAATTTCCAGGAATGTAATCTTCTATGAAACAGTATTTCCTTTTGCATCTACCTCAGTAACTGATATTCATGCTCCCTTATTTCCTAACCCTGAGCCCCATATTACTTTTGATATACCTATTATTCCTCACCCTCAAAACCCAAGTAACCCTACACCTACACCTACACCTACACTAACTCAACCTCCACTACTCAGTCACCATCCCTCAGCCACTTTACACCCAAATACCAACATGCCTGATAATTCTTCTTCTAACAACACCCAACACAACCACATTTCCTCAAACTCTTCCCCTGTTAGAAGAAGATCAAACAGACCTACTAAAATTCCTGCTTACCTAGATGTCTATAAACATAACCTGAACTCTCAAAGTGCTTCATGTTGCATAAATACTGTTTCACACATTCCTGGTACATCTACTTATCCTATATCTGATTTCTTATCTACAAGTCAATTATCTGAAGCTCATAGCTGCTTTACTGCAATCATTTCCTCTACCACTGAACCCAAAACTTATAAACAGGCTGCCAAAGATCCCCTTTGGCAAGAGAGCCATGAACAAAGAATTAAAGGCCTTAGAGCAAACAAATACATGGGTTCTAACTGATTTACCTAAAGGAAAACATTGCATAGGCTGTAAATGGGTCTTCAAAATTAAATATAAATCAGATGGCACTATTGAAAGATATAAAGCCAGATTAGTTGCAAAGGGGTATACACAAGAAGAAGGCATTGATTTCTTTGATACTTTCTCACCTGTTGTTAAAATCACAACTGTAAGATTTATTGTTGCATTAGCATCTCTTAAAAACTGACACATACACCAATTGGATGTTAACAATGCTTTTCTTACATGGAGACTTAAATGAGGAAGTATATATGACTGTTCCACCTGGTTATTGTTCAGATTCTGACACAAGAGTGTGTAAGTTAACCAAAAGTCTATATGGCCTAAAGCAAGCCTCAAGACAATGGTTCCAAAAATTGACCTCTTGTTTGATTACCTATGGTTTCACTCAATCTATTGCTGATTGTTCCTTGTTTTTTATGACTGAATCTGAATCTTTCACAGTTTTACTTGTTTATGTTGATGATATTATACTTGCTGGGAACAATATGTGCAAAATCAATGCTATCAAGTCTCATTTACATAATTGTTTTACTATTAAAGACTTGGGAAAACTTAAATACATTCTTGGCCTTGAGTTTGCACATTCTGATAAAGGCATTCACATGTGTCAAAGAAAATATGCATTAGACATATTGACTGACAGTGGCTTATTAGCCAGTAAACCTTCAACCACTCCCATGGATGCATCTTTAAAACTCAGCAAGAATGACACTGCACCTGCTATTGAAAACCCTTCTGAATACAGAAGACTTGTTGGAAAACTTTTATACTTAACTATTAGCAGGCCTGATATTGCCTATTCTGTTCAGTCTTTGAGTCAGTTTATGTCTAATCCCACACAACTGCATTTCCAATCAGCACAAAAGGTACTCAGGTATGTCAAGGGTACAATTGGACAAGGTATACTCTTTCCCAAATCTTCCAATTTACATATTACAGCATACTCAGATAGTGATTGGGCCTCATGCATTGACACTAGAAAAAGTGTAACTGGTTACTTAATATTCCTTGGTGATTCTCTCATTTCTTGGAAATCAAAGAAACAACCTACTATAAGTAGATCTTCTGCAGAAGCAGAGTATAGAGCCCTTGCCTATACTTCCTGTGAAATCCAATGGTTGTCTTCTCTTTGCAAAGAATTACATATTTCACTAACTACACCTGCCTCTCTGTTTACAGATAGCAAATCTGCCTTAGCCATAGCCTCCAATCCAGTTTTCCATGAAAGAACCAAACATATAGAGCTGGACTGTCATCTTGTTAGAGAGAAGATGGCTCAAGGCTTGATACAGCTCCACCACATCTCAACAAAAGATCAACTAGCCGACTTCTTGACCAAACCACTGCCAGGACCTCTTTTCAAACACCTTCTCTCCAAGTTGAGCATGCCTAATATACATGCTCCACTTGAGGGGGGGTAATAGAATGTACATTATGCTTTACTATGTTGTACTCTTAGTTAGAATGTAATAGTCTTATTTGTTAGGTAAAAGTGTCATTAGCTCTTTGACACTTTAGTCATTTTAGTACTTGTATATAAAGGGTACAGAAACCCTAGTGACACATTATTCATCATTCAT